GAAGGCGCCCACGAAGTAGGTCTTCTGTGATTAGGCAATCAATAGAGTCATAGCGTGTTGATTGGTTGAATTGACAGTAAAGGTTAATGTCCTGCTGCCGAATTTTTTCGTCATTTGAAAACGCCCTTGAGTAAAGCAGTCACGCTCTGATAGATTTGTTTAACTGGTTAGAGGAAAACAAGTGTTTGGTTATCATTTTTGACTCACTTTCAGATGCAAAATAGTTTAATTTCTGAAAATGAATGAAATTTTACTTACGAAAAATAATCGCGCTAGCTTTCTTTCTCCTGCAATTACATGTAGTAGAACTACATCGTAGGTAACGCCCATGACCTGATTCGTTTTGAAAGGTAGTTTTCAATAATTCACAAACACAGAAGCTTCTTGTAGAGCAGACAAAGTTTCGTGCAGTGGAACTTCTTCATCACCTCTCCAACAAGAAAGAAACAGTTCGACTTAAAGCTGGCATGGCGCCCGCAACATTTGCCTACAACAACACTTCACAGCAGTATGCCGTTAAAAACACCGGCGGAATCTCTTTGACAGCCCTCGAAGAGTTCCTGGGGTCTGAGAACGAATTGTACCAGGCCCACGCGGCTTTTCAGATCATCATCTTGGCGCGCTTTATCGAAAGTTATCAGGTGACCTTAACAGCACGCGGTGTGGAATTACTAGTGCGCTTGCTCAGTTCTGAGCAGCACAGCACACAGATACTCGCCGCCAGTTTGTCATCCAATCTCGGCCACACGCAGGCTGGTGTCCCTGTGGCACTGATCATGGCTGGTACGTAAATACTCAGTAAAGGATGGGTTATCTGTAAAGTGACATCGCGCCGAAGTAAAACATGTTGCAAACTTATTCTGACTACAGCCCAGAGTAAATTAATGTGATGTTATCTTTTAAGACTGTTAATGAAACCCTAGTGCGTAAAAATTTAAATGAGAGCTACTGAGCAGTACTTTCATGTGGCACTGTTTGTTATGCTGTACAAAATGGTTTTAACGTTTTAAATCTGTGGAAGAAGCCCTAGTGTGTGAACATTCAAATGAAAGCTTTTGAGCAGTACTTCCATGTGGTACTAAGCTCTAGTAAGTGTTTCTAACCTTTAGGTCTGTGTATAAAAACCTCGTGTGTGGCAATTCAAATGAACGCTAGTGGTTCTGCCTCCTTTTCAAAATCCTAAACCAAGTTACTGTACTTGACGCGCTGGTTTGAGTTGGGTTCTTTAGTACATCTTCACTATAGACATGCCTTCCAGGTCAAAAACTGTAACGTTAAACACTAATCCTTCTTCTTGCCTAAGCTAACTCGTGCCATGTTTTCTTATTTATATGCTGTTCAGGTTCTATGGAAGCACTCCTCGCAAATCTGTCGTCGCTGAACGAAGAAGTTCGCAGCAGCGCCGCCGTTGCCCTTGGTTACCTTTCCTTTGACCGTACTGCTTCCCGGCTGATGTCGTGAGCGTGCAGGAACACTCCAGGGCTGCTTGAATCTCTTGTGGATAACTTTGGTAACGAGAAAATATCCATGGAATTCATGGACGAGTGGAGGCAGACCAAGATCGTGGGACAGCCTTCAGCCAGGTCTGTCTAATATATAGCTTAGTCATAGCTGCTCTATTATTAGCACTTAGGATAACGAGTTTAGTTTGATTTTGAGGTCAGAATGTAATGTGAAGTCTGCGTCGCGCCAAAATGTCTAATCTTGCCGGAGATTATCCCGGTTTTCGTCTCAGTCGCAAGGCTACCCCCTTTCCTTCCCAGCCTTAAATTCACTTGTAACCATTTATACATCTGGGTGGAGAGAGACACTGTAAGAGTAGCGTTTATTGTCTTTTTTAACAGCCTAGAAATTCAGGGAGGTCCCCCAGTACCACAGAGGTTACCACCTCAAGAAAGTAAGTGTACACTTCTCACTTGACAGGGCCCGATAAAAATTGTGCTCAGTGACACCGTAAAATGCTAGAGGATATATTAGCGATATTTCTGCAAGCCACCCCCGCCCCCTACTAACTTCATGTCTTTTCGATAATTGAGCTCGCCTAGCATGGCGTTTTTTTCTTAACCCGTTGCTTTTGACCCCGTAGATTAAAAAAGAAATCGCACTCATTCGTTTTACTTTACTATATTTAGCTCCATTTTCCCAAGTGAGTTTTAATATAAGGACATTTAAGTAATCGACGGCGACGCTGAGGATTAGTTCAATTAACAATGAATTTGTACTTTACCTACGAATCTTGCGATACTGTAAAAAGTCATTTAGTTAGTTTATCACTGTCGAAACTCTCTGAAAATGAATATGTAAAACAGCTTTGAATTCGAAATGGAAATTTTGAAATAAGAATTTGGTCATTTCACGTCGTTATTTTGCAGAGGACGGCAAAGTAATGTACCAAGAATTATAACGCACGTGCTCTGCCATTGTTCTGCTCATTAACCTTATATATGGTGACGCTACAGTTGCCGTTACCGTCGTGATTTTTTCTAAGTCCCTAATTAATTTTAACACACAAACAGTTGTTTGCTTTCTTCAACAGCGCCAGAGTAATCTAAGGATGTAGTTTGATGAGAATAATACGTTCGACCTGTAAGAATTTTTCAGTTGCGTCTTCACGCGGTAAATTTGGCACGAGCACCGGTGTTAAAATTTCCTCACACCTACTCTGCGCATTTCATTTGGTTTTCTTTTTTCGTTTTTTTTTTATCAGCTGTCGAAAAACAACATCCAGTCAAAAACTATCGGAAATTCTCGGAGACGAAATTATTAATAATTTACGATCCATGGTTGTAAAAGCGTAAGTCCCAAAGTAAGGTATGTACACAATTAATGGAATGGTTTTCAGAAATGGTACAATTTCTTAAAATTGTCAAGACTACCACCGGACATCACTAAGCACAAAAATAATTTACAAAAACAAGGCTACCCAGCTGGGTATAGACATGAATAAGATACTGTAAAAATGGAGTTGTTTCAACAGCTCTAGGCAATTATAGCCCAGATATCTCTTGGCTCTCACCGTTCAACTTATTTACGACCTAGAGCTTAAAACTCTTTGGCCCCCTAAAACTATAATGTTAACTTCTTTGATCAACCGATAATTTGACTTCTGTAAAATAATTAAGCTCACTGAACTTTGTAGCGATCAAATGGAAAGCAGCCTTCCTTTATGTAAACTTCAGTGTTGGTAAACAACAAAGAATGATCGACCAACAAGAACAACATGAAATACACTTCATTGGATCATTTAATTTTCAAACCTGTATTGGCGTGGGATACTTAATTCTGGCAACTAAATTTCACGTTGATTAGTGCGACTTTTACGCGCGTGTCAATGCGCGTGAACTACTCCGAGTAAACTGCTGTTTCCCAGTGATTTTGAGTCGCGCGGTTCACCCAGGAGATGTACTAGCGCTGCGCGTCGCGCTCGTGAAACTGGCGCTTAGAAACCGGGCACTTGCCCCAATTTACTCAGCGAGTATGAAAATGGCACTGTGCTCGAAGTCCAGAAGACATGAGAAACGCTTCTTTATCCTAGAAATACAATCAACTCTCCTAAAACGGACATGCACCACTGTAAGAGGGGCACCTGCGTAAGACGAACATGGCTGCCTGTCCAAACTGAAATTCACTTAAACTTTCTTTGAGGTGGACGGTTCTCTGAAGCAGACAAAAAGATCTGGCTCCGATTTTGCAGCAGACGCACCACTATCACAATCTAGTCGCTCGGAGAGACTCTAAACCCGCCTGAGTACATAGAGCTTGGGTTCGACAGCTTCTATTTTATTCTAAACTAAAAAGCAACTAAGCTGTAACAGTTCACACACAATGTAATTGATTATAACTTGCTCA